GGATTGGCACAGCAGTCATCCCATATAAAGCAGGAACATCGGAGGTTATTCGAAGACTGTTGAATTTAGCCAACATTCGAGTAGCTTTTCAGAAGGAAAAAACGGTATGCTTAGTTTTGGTGCAGTTGAAAGATCCGTTGCCGATTGAAAGGACTAGGGACTGTGTGTATAAAATTAACTGCAACGATTGTGCCAAGGTTTACATAGGACAAACTGCCAGGGAATTGCACACCAGAATCGATGAGCATAAAAGAAGGATAAACAAACCACCAAGGAATGCAGAAGAACACCAAACGCTGGTTAAAGACTCAGCGATAGCGGTACATGCCTTAGATATGGGGCATAGAGTAGATCTGGAGAATGTGGAAGTTTTAAGCGGGGGACTGCGATTCACACCACAGCGGCTGATAGCCGAGGCGGTGGAAATTACCAAGCATCACAGCGTGAATAGAATCGAGGGTGTGGAGCTAGCGAGCGTATAGAAAGCGGTCTTAGTTAAGCCGAGTTGACACGTGACGGTGTGATTATCAATCCACGTAGGATCATCAGAAAAAACTGGGTGTGGGGGTGGAAACCCCAACCGACCAAAGGTCACAGCATCCCTCTTAGAACTGGCTCACCCACGCAGACTGACAGAAGGTTCAAACAAAGTTCACGAAGGACTATCAAATGAACCGCACCAGAAGAACTAGACCCCAGGCTGGACCCAAACGCATGTAGGTTTCCCCACCAACCCAACACTTGTTCAACTACTCTGACACACTAAAATCCCTCGGCCGACACCCAACAACAGACTTAGCTGATTGGTTCTCCTTCGGCCCTAAATCTCGACCAACCTCGAAACCTGGTCACTTGGCCGAACGAAAGCTTTTGTGTCAAGAGCGAAACGTTGCCCAGCAATAAATCTACCGATTGTCACCAAACTTTTTCGAAAACAAATCAGTACGGTTCACAAAGCCCCTTGCGATTGCGAAGCTCACCCCCTGTCGAGTGCGCCTACTGACAGAATTTATGAAAAACGATAGAATGGGTCAACCGTTTAAGTTCATGCTGACGGCATTTTTACGTCTTTAGCAAGTGGGAGCCCAAAGTTATCCCGCTGTATGAGACACTCCTTCGACCAACTCATGTGACTCTACAAAGTATAACATACCAAAGTGAGAAGCCCACCACGCAAGCTGTTTTGGCAACCTCTTTAAATCACGGCAGTGAAGCAACATCAGTGTCAACACTGACTGCTGTCTTTGATGATGATTTTATCCTTTTAAGAAATATTTTGAACCACGCTTATCCCATCTTGGTTATCTTCAAGTTGTTCGAATTTGCTGATCCAGTCACTGTCGTAGGATCTTCAGTTCAAACATCACATCTCAGCCACCGACAGTACGATTTCAACGCAACCGTCTACTTTCTCACATCTGCCAGGCCATCAATTCAGCGCTGAGTTGACCTGATGAAAGAAAGGTTATACCCCGTAACGCACCGAAAGTCATGCACAAGGCACAAAACTCCTTGCGTTTTTTTGGACGGAGCGTCGGGTGTCTCAACCAACTCTACTTTTCTTATAGACTAGAAATCATTTCTAATTTGTCTTTTAAGGTCCATGAATTTGTTCATCAGTCTCCCTGCCAGGCATATAATCCCTCAACCGTAACTGTTTGTCACGCAGCGCCTGTTTCCATTGGCCCCTTAAATTTGAACCAAAAGTTATGCATACCACAACCATTCCGGCACGTACCAACTGTTTTCATACCCTCTTCCGTCATCTTGATGATGCCTTTGTTTCTCCATTTTATCGTTACAATTATATCATTTGTCTTTCAGATTGGACGCCAGATGAACGACTGGAAAAAAAATTTCCCGTGCTTCTTTTGATCGCTCCAAACTCATGGTCACACTTCACTGCCTAAAGCACCTTTTAGCCCATGGTTTCTTCCCCAAACTGGGGTTGTACTTTGGTACGCCTACCATCTGTCTTTACGCTTTCGTTTTCCAAGACTTCAGTTGATGAGTTCTCATTGAAAACCACTTTTGTTTTCCATTTTTATCGTTCGCTCTTGTACAACAGGGCGCAACGGCAATGACAGTGGAGCCTGCTCGCCCCTTGAAGGCGGTTGCTTGGCAAGCAATGCTTTTTACTTCCTGTTGGGGGTTCGTGTTGCAACACGGGAACTGACGTAGTTAGAAGAGAGCACACATTTAAACTTTTCAAACAATCGCTGGTTGTGTTTTTCTAGCATAACCTGCTGACTCCCATCGTTTGCGCGACCAATTTAGGCCACCGGTTCCGGAATACTTGTGCCGGTTTAGTCGAGAAACCGTCTCTTACTGTGTTTCAAGATGTCACACGGAAACACATAGATATTATATATATATATATATATATATATACATATATATATATATAATAAGAATGTAAATGAGGGTTTACCGATCATTTTTGTTTGAACCACTAGACACCCAGGCGTATCGGTGAGAAATGCAGCGTTCCTATCGATCGGAATTGCACACTCTCAAGTTGGTTGAATGCAATATTTGGCGGTACTCTATTGAGCACCTCGTTGCTGCTGTTGACATCACTGGGATGGCAATCCAATGGGTGTCACGTGATTATTTGTCAGTATCTTACTCATAAACTGGTTGCAACAGGTAAACGGCATCTTCGAGTGATGCGTAATACCAGAACCTACGGGAAGGAAAAAGGAGGTCGGAGTTGGGTTTCAGTAAGGTACTATTAACGTGAGACACTAATTCACAGATATACAAGCCTCGACAGTAGACGCCTGTCTACAACAAACGGTCGAATTGGACTACAAAAGTACAAACCAAATGAGCAAACAGACTCCTACGTGAGACAGTCACACGTGCACAAAGTCGGCCACAAATGGCTGGATGACCTCAAAGCCAAATGATTTAAGTGAGAAGTTCATATACACGCGCTAAACACAAAAATGGGGCGGGGGCTACAGGGAAACGTGGGGAATTTCAAATGCCAAAATAATGGAGGATCGTCACGTGATATTTTGTTTTTCCTCAACCTCGTCCTTGTAGTGAAGTCCCACCGGAACATGAGATCTCACCATGCAATACAAACTTCGACTTCAGAGTGGCGGTTTTTGTCTGTCTTTTCCATTTGCTTGCAAAAGTTTGATTTCTCGTTTTTTAGACCCCCTTGAATTACTTTCACGGATATCTCTGAAGAAAACACATTGTTTGACTTTGTGGTAAGGTATACTTTACACGGAGAAACAACTTTTAAAGGGATAAATAACTGTAGAACCGTTCTAATTTCAGTTTATCCTCGAGGTACTAATTCCTGAGAGCTAAACAGAACAAACTTCAAGCCTTAAACTTTGCAGTTTGCCATTTAATTGAAGATAGCGCAATATTCTGTCAGATTTATTTTGAACATCCAGAATGCATTACCTCTATTTTACTATCTTAAGAAGCCGTATTCTTTCAGTTGTTGCTTTAAACGGGATACACACTTTATTACAATATTTTTGACAGAACCTCGAGTATCGTTCTGCAACTTCAAAAGTCCTTTATGAGACTCATCAGCGGAGTTATTTCAAATTCTGGGATTGCTATATTTTGGGACTGTCACTGCTTTGGAATATTGCTTCTGGTGACAAGCGATCTGGTCTCCTAACCCATCTGTATCGATCGAGTGAGCCACAGTAGCCTTGGTCACGTGACTTGACTTGTCAGACAGCCAAATAGTGATATGCGCTCAGCAGTGGTTGGGGCTAGACACCATGTAGTGGATCGCGAACGAGCAATGTGTACTTTGATGTGGTCTTGGTCATTTTACAAGTAGTTAGATGCAGCGCAATAGTTTAGGATTGTAGAGTTGGGGGATCAGCGGCATAAACACAGTGAGTGTCGCACCTCTGTTTTATGTTTGATGGTTTTCGTTTGAAACGGCCGAGAAGGAGGATACAAGAATTCTTGTGCAAACTCATCTTGACACGTGTGTGTAAGCTGGTAAAATATAGTCAGATTCAGATCGGGTTAGAACTAAAAGTAACCTCCATCGCACAGAACCCCACAAATAAAACCTCATTGATTAATAAAGAAAACGCTCGAAAACAGTGTACTTTTTTCATCTCCATCAAGTGACACTCATCATCATGTTCATATTAGCGTACCCCCATGTGAAGTCCAATATACTAGAATTAAAATATTGTGCCATTTTCATCATGTTGGATGAAATTTTTTTTGTTGATTAAAGCCACATCTTGATGCTCACTAATTAGACAGTCTTTCGCTAACCGCGAGCAAGAAGTACACGCAATATGGAATCCAACGCTAGATTTTATTTTTGTAGAATTTCATAAACACGTTCGTTGGATTCAAGCTCTACTGGTTTGGTGCCAGTGGCACCACTACTGATCCTCTGATTTGAGCGATTGTCGGAGTTGACAGTTTACATTCTACATTGTGTAATTTTTGATAGTATTTTATCCCATCCATTTGGGACGTTTTGTTTAGCCTACGCTGACAGATACGCAACTCATCTGGTTCTGTACACAACTTTGTTACTTTATTGGACAAGCATCCGAATGCTATATGTAACAAACTTTGAACAACCCAATACAAACATTTTCACAAGGGTTGAATGGTTATCCTGTTGTTCGAAAATTCCGCTCTTTATTCCGGTTTCCGTTGTTCAACCTAATCGGTGAAGCTAGTCGCGTTTGGAATAATCCAAAATACACAACCAATCGTCAGCATATTCTTTTTTCAGTCTCCCCCAGGAACAAGAGTACTGACATTGAACGAAGTGAACCATCATCATCATCATCATCATCACCATCATCATCATCATCATCATCATCATCATCATCATCATCATCATCATCATCATCATCATCATCATCATCATCATCATCATCATCATCATCAATCATCATTATCAAAGACAGCCACATCATGTGAACCAGAGGTTCGTGAGTCAACTGGCACGTGACCAGCGACTGTCAATCGTTCAAACAATCGATGACGTGCGTAGGCTCGCATGACCACTAACGCACCGCAACGGTCCGCCTTCCAAACTCTCTGTGGTATTAAGACGATTGGCGATAAGGCTTTTGTGAATAAACTATCAGGTTTGGTGGACAAACGGCGAACATAAGGTGGATATCAACTGTCTCAGGACTGCCGAACTATTTGTTAGTTCACTTCTAGAGGAAATGGGAGTAAGACCAGAATGACTGGCTGAAAAAAATCCACACAGTTTCCTTTTTTCAGGTCTGTTCATCAGAATTTAATTGATATGACGGAGCTGTCTTGTGCGACTTACAGTGCACTATTTCATGGCAATGGTGTGGGTAGTTGATAACCTCCAAACAATGAAACCCCTCTATTTGTTCTACTGCTCCAGGATAGGGTTGGAGTGGGCTTATCTCGAAGTACCTGATGCGATCTGGAACCTCAAGTGCTGGAATGCGAAATATACATAGAATAAAATCGCATATTTGCTAGGAACCAGTGTGACGGCGGTTGCCACATGAGCAAAACTCAATGAAACCAGAATGTACTGGAATATTGGTGGCCGGGTGCATTTGTTACTGATTACTCACATAGCCATTGATCTATTTGCCAAGCTTTGCGGTTCGCGGAAACTCTGCTGATTAAGGGGGGGATGACTGTTTTTGACCTTTTTACAAACTTGACACAAGTGGGACTACTAGGTACCATGGGACCAGGGTAGAAAGGTAATGCGCACCGTCAGTGCGACTGACGCCGACCATGGTGTCGTTGGTGAACAGGTTAACCAATCACTTAAACTGATTGTTGTTACTCTCCATAAAGGTAACCGGTTTCTACACTATCTGCAATGGCTTCAGTCTGATTCTTTCATTGAATCACCACTCAAGAAAAGTTAACATCTGGGTGGAGTTTCCAGTCAGTAAACGAAGGTTTTTTAAAAAAGTGAGGTAACTCATGTATAAAGAGAACACCCCAGAAAGTGAGCACTGAAATCTAATTATGCATGTGGTGCACAGTAGGTCGTTCTGCTCGCGAGTACGATCCGCATGGTCCACTTGTAAACCCCAAACGTTCTTCGGGCCATAGGTTCCATGTTGGACTGAGCATTGGATGAGTATAACTCACTTCAGGCAGCCGGCTGTACTCAGAAGTACGTAATCACTTCGACATCAACCTCAGTTATGACCTGTCCCGAAGAGACTGAACCTTGCCGTGGTGCGACGGTTTGCGCACCTTGGTGACCCATTGAACTTTACTGCGGGGGGTGGGTGGTGTCCTCATCACAGCCGCAGAGTCTCTCATACCAGGTTCGTCAACGATCAGAGGTCTGAACAATACAGTCTCCTGGTCTTCCAGGTTGGGGGTTGGAACATGTGTAGCGACGTGTTCCGCAAAAGTGGCAATGCGCTTGTATTTCCAGGCTTGAGGTCAGGATTTTCAGACAAAGACTTTGATTAAATATCCCATCGTCCTTATGTCTAAGTGCAGGCGCGCTGGCGGTTTTCCAGCTCACGTACAACCATGAATTGTAGGGCAGCGAAGGATCACTGTTGAACACTGATGTCAAGCTGCCAATGATGATTACTGATCAGTTCCAATCTATGAAGCTTTCTGTAGGTCAATCCAACCTGTGTCCCGGTTTGCTGGACACTGTTCAGTATGGACCTGACAAAAAGTATGCTTTAGGGACGAAACTCATGGTTCACAGTGGACGTTAGATTTGAACGGCTTATTGACAGCTCTCATCGAAGCAAATTTGGTGCTCACCGACCAGCCAAAACTGCAAAATTTAATCAGGAACTTACGTCCGTTGCCTAATACGCTGACACATAGGTCTTGAAAAGAGTCTTTAAGAAACAAATTAAACTAATTTAATTCAAGCTTGAATTATGAATGCGAGACAGAAAGATGTAGTGAGAAATGTGACATTCCGTGAACAGTAAAGAATGCTGCTCACCAATATTGGACATCATCAAAATTTTCTCGGCCTCTAAGAATCTGCGTGAGGATAAATTAGTTGAGTAATGTTTGGAGAAGGGACTTAAACTCGACGTGTTTCTGACACACACACACACACACACACTGATGGCGAGGCCGACTAAAAGAGTTAACAAAGAATGTCCGCAGGCGAAAACCGTGTGATCAATTCCTTCGGGTGCTTTCTACTAAGAAAAACAATGTTCCATCAACGTGCTTTTGTGGCTCGTCATGGTTATCACTATTAATTTACACCTGTCCGCAACAGTTTCTCTCAAATGACCATTTGACTGTGCACGCTGACACAAGATAAAGGTCGTTTTCTCCCGTGTGAATTTGGAGAGACTCGGTAATCGAAAGGAATTTGCTGTTTCAAAGTCGTTCCAAGCCGGAGTGACGCAAGTTGGGCTTTTTCAATAACTGTTCCGTCGTCAGTTCATTAAGGAAGGACAGAGGGCGTTGTGCGTAAAGCAAGTGACCATACCTCCATGATAGAAATAACTTGACACAGAACCGTGGTGGGAATTAACCTGCCTTTGATGTGGATGACGGTAGCATGGAACACGGAATGGTTTTATAAAACTCAGGTGTTCTGTTATATCGTCGAAGTTTACATCGATTCCAGGTATGGAGCCAAATAGATCCCGAAAAGTCCCTCTTATTCCTGTTCAGGTTGACAAAATGCCTGAAACTTAATAAATAAATAAGCACTTGAGTGCACCAATTGTGTCTTTTGGTGGAAGGTGAAACCTCGACTTTGCTTTGCACTAGAAAATGATATTTTGAATTCAGTAAGTTTGAGCGACGATTTGCTTATTCTAAAAAAGACCTTGTTCAGGTTGATGCCTGAAACTTAATAAATAAATAAGCACTTGAGTGCACCAATTGTGTCTTTTGGTGGAAGGTGAAACCTCGACTTTGCTTTGCACTAGAAAATGATATTTTGAATTCAGTAAGTTTGAGCGACGATTTGCTTATTCTAAAAAAGACCTTTTACTTTCCATTCCAATTTAGGGATCCACAAAATGAAGGCTCAATAATCTATGACTCGCAATTCCAAACGGGGTTGATCAAACTGCCAAATCGTTTTAGTTTTCTGATCATAGCCACACCACTCTCGTCTGAACGGTCGTCCTCCCGTTCTGGCGTGATTATTCGGGTAAGTCCACACCAAAGGGAAGCAGTGGACTCGAGTTTCACTCTTATTGGAGCTCATCAGCAGTGCATATCCAATGGCTGTGCCGCGATCCGGACTCCGGACATTCGAGGCGAGCGTGTAGCCACTACTCCACTAACGCACGTTGGACGCACCTGAATTTTCACGTCTGAACAGGCGAACGTGTTCACACTTGAGCGACGGGTGCCCGACTCATCAAACGCCGACCCTGGTTGTAATGATCGATTGACCGCTACTCATCACTTAGTTTTGTCAACCATTTATTGAGGACAGCAACCCCCTGATTCTACGGGAGAACAACTAACTGTTTTGAACGTGTCATTGGAATGGCACTCCCCACAAGATTATTGGCTGCTATTTTTTGTGAAAAATTCTTTCGATCATGTTCGTATTCTGCGATATTTTGTGCTGGCATGTGGTCTGTTTGACTGACACCTGACCTGAAAATTGTGACGTTCTACCGTTAAAAGCAGGGGATTATCCACCTGACCAATCCGGAATATCTCCAGTGCACACGCATCACGTGTCATGGAAGCGGAGGTCACGGGTCAAGGACTGTTACTAATTCCCAATGAGGACGAAGTAGCTGAACAGTGATTCTTGGCTCTTCAGCACTGATTGGCACCGCTCACAAGACCGAAGTAAAGAAACCTGATACTAACGTTAACTCTACCGTTGCAGGACCGAAAACGTGGAACTTGTATGTATAAGTGGAGGACAAATACCGACTAGACACAGTAGATGGCAGTTCTTTCTATCGTTTTGGAAAATGAACACACGTTTAAATGAGTTCCACAGTAGTCACAAGATGAGAATTAAGGTCGGGCACCTTTGCTGGATTTTAGTTTTGTCGTTAGGGGTTACAGATGTAGGTGGACATGTCAGCTGTGTAAAGTGCAATCTTTCCCCTCCTTCGCATAGTGATTTTTTCCTTTTTTCTTTCCCAGCTCCAAAGGAATCTTTTTAAGAGTTGGCCGCAAGCGAAATTTCTGTCGGATTGAACGTATAGATTAGCTCACTTTTATTTCCGGATGGCTGCTGATGCGCGGTAGTTTGTTAAACATTCTGTGACATGTTTCAGATCGTATTTACGTCGTTCGTTTGGACATTCTCACTGCACCCCTTTGGTCCGCTAATCCCACATCAACTTATGAAAACTGTTCAGAAAACGGAAAAGATGAGGGTAAAAGTTTGAAAATCCCTACAATAACTGTCAATTTTATAACTCCTTTGAACCAAAGCGGCACAGAAATTGCATAAACGTTTATACGAACGGATAACGAGGCGCAGTACACCAAGTCATCACTAAGGCGTGCACGTAAATTGTTTAGGACTGAACATATCAAAATCCGCAGGTGAATGAAATCGCTTAAATCAATGACCACTGGATTGAAAGTGTTATATCTGCTGATTCGTCAATCTGTGGTATCTGCTGCTGACCCGCTCCAGTGCCTAGTGTCGGAGAGAAAAGACTCACGGAAGGGAACACAATAGCTATATTCCGAACAAGCAAGTGCGAGAGCGTGATCAAAAGTTACAACGGCCGCACGCTATTTAAAGGGGACTTTCAGACATTGATCCAGGCTGTCTGATAGGCGTTAGTGAACACCCATCAACATCGATCGTGCCTCTGTGAAAAGCCTGAACGCCGATCACATTCGGTCGTGCTTCTGTGGCGCGCAAGAACACTCATCAGGTTTTGCTGAATTGGTTGAATGATTGACTAGCCTGGATGCTTGCGGCTTTCCAGTTGAGTTTTTGGTGTAG